GTTGGTGTCGAATTAATTTAAATGATTTTGTCCGGCGTCGTTTTTTCCTGGGTTTGTCGTAGTAGCTAGACCGTTAACTGAAATAAAATGAAATCTTTGGGTTTATTTAATAAAATTTGAGAGCTCAGAACATGTCAGAACTACGATGAACATAGGATTTTTTTTCTTTACAACTTATCTTTTTACAACAGAGCAAGTTGGCAAGTTACTATACAAAACGCAAGGAAACTGCTTTAAATTTGTATAAATGTTTAAATCTGTACATTGGAACGGAAAAAGGGTGTACACGAGTCCTTCACTTTATACGCACTGATTGGCGCTGTAACAGGCAGAAGGATTTAAAGTGATGCATACGTTAAGATCGTTAAACATAGCAGGGCGCAACTTTTCGATGCAAAGATACCTTAAACGTTCTCCTTAAAACATTTACAAAGATCCCTTTTTCCAGAATTATAGGTTTAGCAAACCTACAACACACCTATTTATGCCGCTTTGGTATAAAGCTAACTAGCTTATTTCTTTTCATGCACCACGAGGTGACCAGTTTATTTCGTGCCGGGTTCTTTATTCCTTGGTTTTTCATTTTCACAGACAGACAGTGTTTTAAATTCCATTGTCAATGAACATAAAAAAGATCTATTGGAAACGTGCTAGCAGCTTACCAGAAAATGAGGTTTCTCTCCTCTGGGAAATGGATACTTTATTATGCAAATTTTTCTGTTGTCGGACACCAACAAATAGATTGTTATGTATAATACATAAACCTGAACTTGAACTTGAGAAAAAAAACGCTTGTAATATCTGGCTTTTAAAAACGTTCGTATTGTCTCAAATGAGAGTCGTTTGAAAACTACTCGTTTCATTAGAATCTTTAGCACGCAAATTTGCTCCCCACCCCCCATCTCCTTTTCCGTGAAAATAAAGTAACCTACAGTCAAACTTAGCTTTAATACGGACACCTCATTATTACGGACAGTTTGCTTTATCCCTGGGGAAAGGAAACCCTTTCAGTTTCTCTAAATTCAACCCGCTTTAAAAAACAGACACCCCGTTGAGATAGGGACACTTTCTATGTCCCCCTCAGTGTCCATATTAACTTGGTTTGCCTGTGCTTGTCTTTCAAAGAGCTTTTATTTTGTGCGGTGAAAATCGTGTCAAGTTTGAATATATTAACGCTAGGAAGAGACGTCTCCTTGCAGGCGGTTTCCTGACGTGCAAATAATTTATGATATATTTGCCCTTGGGACTGATATATATGAAATTAGTCTGTGTCACTTAATCATGTTCTTTCAAACTTTATTGAGCCGCGCTCTCTTGCATATAATTTTGTCAAATGTTGGCAAATTATCCTAATGTTGAATTCTAAAGGACTCTATCCATAGATGTTTTAACATCCGCGTAGTTGTCCAGTGGACGTCACAAAAATGTACTAAAAAGTGCAGACCTGTTTTTTACTCAAGAAACAATTGTTTTTCATTTATCGGTCAAATCGAAGCTTCAAAATCTTCCCCCGGTCATACCCCGCTCTTTTGACTCCTTTGCCGTCCCGGGAAGGAGGCAATTTGATCATCAGTTTTCCAAGGGGTGGTGAATTTGAACCGTAGCCTCGATTTCATGTGACATGTGGCGGTGCTCTGCACGAAGCTGGTGGACACGCTTTGGAAACTAGCAGCTAGATACAGGAATTACACCGACCTGTGATTGGAAGACAAAAATAGCATTTCAGTTGCGATGACGTAACTCGCAGTTTGCCACGTTAGCGTTTGAATATAGTTTTCATATGGTAAAGACATATTACATCTCTCTGAGACAAATTTTAACTTTATGTTTTTATTTTGCGTTTCCAGGTTTTTTTTATTGCAAGACGGTCGATAAGAACAGACGTTTCGCAGTGCTCATCATGCTGTCAGTACCATTTAATAATTGCTTAGTAAATCGCTCCTTTCTTTTGCTTGGAGACAAGGCAAGCGTAGCCCACCAATGCATTTGCCAGACGCCGAGGAAGTCTACTTTTTTTCAGGAAAGAACTAATGGTCAGCAGTCATCCTCACACGAGACTGCTAGTCAAATGAAGGAAGCTGTAATATCATTTCATCGACGCTTGGTTGTTTATAACAATGCCATTGATGTCCAGAAATATTCGCCACACCCGATGGAAAGTGATGACTGGAAGTGTCTTACACACCATTCCTACTCAACAACGATCAGTGGTGGACAATCTCTTGATAAGCTAGAGCAGACAAGTACAAAAGGCAAGACTGGCTGCTTCGATCAGAAGATAAGAAGAGAAGCTCCAAAGGCTCATTTAGACGAAAGATGTAAAATAACAGAAAATCCTGCATATCATATTATTTATGTACCTTGTCTGAAAAAAATTGTTGACAGCCCATCTGTCCAGGGCGGACCTCAAACATCGGATTGTTTCAAGCCTGAAGAAAAGGTGAAAGCTGAAATCTACAAGACTTGCCAAAACGGTTTCTTTCCAGTAAGGCAAACGGAATTCATCTCAGAGAACGAGGTAATTCTCTTGAAACCAAGTGGTTATCATACCCAGAGAGGTTTGCCCGTGCCTATGGGCAACCACGATCATTCAACGCACGGAATTCAACCATCTCAAGTGGAAAAACGTACCCCTCAAACTTTACATGATGATGGGGAGTTAAAGCGTCATTTTGCAGGATCCACTTGGCCTCGTACTTCTCCATTGGTAAATAAAAACTTTGTTGAGCCCATGACAAATGATATTCGTGCACCGGCGGTGGTACATGTCGATTCCATCGAGAATTGCCTTGGAGAAATTGCTAATTCACCTCAACAAAAGTCAGAATCAATTCAACAAAAAAGGTATCATCCAACAAGTGCTATTGCTGAAAGCAAGAGCAGACCAAAATTTTTTTACTCGAGTCATCCTCCGTATGGAAACAGCTTCTCTATTCAACGGCAAATACAGGGGCCAGATGTTCCAGTTGTCCAACACCACATGCTTACTGCTACAGCTTTCCAAGGTGTCCAGGCGCTCAATCCGAAAGCCAACCCACATACCTGTCCCCCCGGAAAGCCCTTTGAATCTGCTAGACGGACAAAATGTGCTTCTCCTGATCGCATTTTTGAAGATTTGCCAGTTCGTTGTCCAGCTGCTTCTACTGGTGGAGGTCTCCATCAAAAAGCCAACTCTACGGTCATTCCCACACCTTGTGTTGCTTTTCCATCTGCTAGTTATGCACGTTACCGTGATAAAAAGGAAATGAGTAGTGTTTACACCTTCTATGCTGAATCGAACACTATACAGAAAGAGCAGCAGAATGCCCATTCAATCGATCTTTCTTTCAAGGGTGATGGTTGTTCTCAGCCTACCGACCTTGCCCCTCAGACAAGTGCCTGTGGATGTTCTGCACAGAGTCAAACTAACGAATCAGAAAAAGTGACGATATGTTCTGCTCTGCGCCTCCCCCACCCTAATTCAGGAAGGGGTTATAGTCAACCCCTGGGAAGTGAGAAAAGATGTGATGTGACGCACCTCGATTTCCATGAGCCGAAACTCCTGTATCATCCAAAACCAGCTCCTCTGCTACTTGATTTTGCACGAGGTCAAGCACATACTCAATTGCCGTCAGTGCGCCATCTTAACCACGTTAACGTTCAAGCCCTTCAGACGTCTAACCTTCACGACGAACCAAAGAATACTCGTTTGCCTTCAGAATCTTGAGGGATAAACCAAAGCCAATACTCTGCTTTTCATAACGGGTTTCATCAGCAGCAGCCAAATAAAAGCCGACAAGATCTTTCTTCACTTGGAAATCACTCGCAAGCCCTCTTAAACCATCAAATGTGTAAGCAAACTAGCGCAGATAACACCTGTGAGTCCAGAAACCCTCCCTGTTCGAGTGACGTAATGAGAAGAACGCCCAGTTTCTTCAGGGTTGACAGACCTAGTCCCTCAGCAATGAAACACATTCCGGATAAATTCAACGATTCGTTAAAAATGGAAGTGCCGAGCAGCTACATTTCTGCTGACTCGAAGCCTCAGGATCCTCCTGAACTCGAAGAAGAGCAAAGGAATATTTCCCCTGAAGAACAAGAGAGATGTCAGCTGAAAAACAAAGTAGAACAATCCACAGAATTGACGAAGCAATCTCATAACAACACCTGTCCTGAGGACACAGTCACCAGATTCATCACTTTCGTGGTTGGTTTGGAGACTGAAATACTATCACCGAAGAAAAAGAGAAATCCACCAAGCCCGAGTGTAAATCTAATGCAAACTGTGTCTTGGCCGCAGGCTACAGTAAAACCTCCTAGCGGAAAACTTTTGGATCCTTCAGCTACTGATTGTGAGGATTCTGTGGACATGATTCGCCTGGAGAGAGTATACTACTCTGCTCATCCCCAATCACAATCATCTCGAGAAAACAATCGCCCAGCCTTGTCTTCCGCACCCCACCTTTTGTTCAACGAGAGTGAGCTTCCTGTCAATGGGGAACTGAATAGGAGTGAGTGGCGCTTGAGAGAAGTTAGCACAGTAGAAGGCAAGGCGGGTAAAAAGACGAAAAGATCCCATACTAACCCCACTTTCCTAACGCCTAATCCTCGCAAACGAAAAGGACTTGTCGGAGACGAAAAGAGAGATGAAAGATGCGGGACAAAATTAAGGAGGCCAGTCCGGGAAACAGTGAAGATGATACTAGAAAAGAAGAGGTATGCTAGAGGGTGGTCCGGAGACTGAACAACATTAATTGATGAGAAATCGAATCTTAAGTGACAAACGTCCCTGAAGAGAAAAACATCACAATCTCGGATTATGATTTTTTCAGAGTTAAGAGTGCAAATAATGAATAGAAATTGTTTTTGCATCGTGTTGCCATGACTGAGTGTAACCCACTTATACGTGTAATTAGTGTCAGAACTCAAGGCATGCATAATTGACTTTTATAATTATTTCTGACAGTGTGAGATCAAATTAAAGCCGTGAAGTGCGAATATTCAACTGAGAGGACTCAGAGTCATCCTTCCCTGTCAAACTGTTCATTTCTTGTCATTTTTCTGAGAAGCGGATGGCAGTTCAAATGAAACTCGTGAAGGTATTCATCCGACTAGAAATAGATCAAATAAATTAAGAGTGTTTTAAACTCAGCCTAAGAAATTTACTTATATAGTTTGTGGTTCGATTCCCATTAGCCATCAGGAGATTGCAGTTCAAATCAGAAGTTCGTGAAGAAATTCATCCGACTAGAAATAAATCAGATGAATTTAGGGTGTTCATTTAACACAGCCAAAGAGATCTACTAATATAGTTTGTAGTTTCGATTCCTATCAGTCATCTTTTCAAAAGTAAAAACGATAAAAGCGACAGGAGCCGTTTAAAGGCGCATGCAAAGTCACTATGTCGTGTTCCCCTCCCCTTGGTTAAGGGTGGAGATCAATTACCCCCCCTCCCCCAGAACTCCCCCCATTTTTGTAAAAGATGACTGGCAGGCTTCGAAACTGTCAACTATATTAACTGGATTTCTTTGGCTATGTTTTAAAAAAATCTCAAATCTCTTTCAACTGAAAGGAAGAGAGAATGATCATTCTCTCTTGCTGAAAGCTACCAAGCAGTTGCTTTCCTATGTACCTGTGAGCAAACGTTTTCGAAATTTGGGGTTTCAGTTTGCGCATTAACGTGTGAGCAATTCTTTGATCCAGAGCCCCATTTAATCAGTAACCGCTCTGCTGGTCTAAAAACATGAAGACCTTGGAAGAACACACGTTGACGCATGACAGGCGCAGGCAACTTTGTTTTGCGCAATGGTAGTCCAATTGCTCTAACCCAGACCCAACGCAGGCCTAACACGCGGACATAATGAAACATGTTTTAACCCTTTGTTAAGTCCCAATGGTGACCAACTTCAATTTCCTCCTAACGATATGCATACAATGTCAAGAGATTAGGTTATAAGAATTAATGAAATGATCACCAGAGAGAAAACGCTTTTTTTTTTATCAAATTCTCTCAACGCATTCTTTAAGGAAATGTATAGAGATCAGTTTGGAGAATTTGCAAGTGGATATTGGGGCTTCAAGGGTTAATATAAGCATTGCCTCTGTAGAGCTCTCCTAAGAGGAGAGGGCGTCTGTACGTAGGCTACCAAAATTGAAAATGGTTTATTTATATGCGGTTTCGCTGAATAAACTCCCTTGTAATGAAAAACCGTCACTAACTTGGCCAAATAGGTGATTAAATTTGTAATCAGGGTATTAAGGTTTCAACAAAAGGAAGAAAGGTGTATTGTTGTAGTACAAATATATTTTAATATGAATAGCTTGGATTTTTTTAAAAAAGATTTACATGCTTGCGTTTGTTTATTCAACATTAAGCCACTTTTAATCAAAAATAAAATAAAATGAAAATAAAAATAAGATAACTCTTGCATTCGTTCATTACAATTTCCTTCAAGAACAAGCCTTGCTTGCAGGATATCGCAAATTATTCATTCTCGTAGGGCTATCTACAAATAATACAAAGCAATTATCGTAACATTCTGCTCAAACAGGTCAATTATTCGCTCAACCGTGATTCTACTGTTCACGCACGATATGTGTGTAATATTGTCACATGGTTCCGTGTGTCCAGGACTTAACACTTCGCAAAATTAAAGCCACTGCCAGTCAATTTTAAAAAAGCAAAACAAAACTATAATACATCAAAAGTATTTGAAAAATGGTTCTATATATTTTCACACATCACACTTTCTCATATCTGCGAGAGAGAAAAATTTTATACCGAAAGGTACATTGGTTAGAAGAATACTTATATATAACAATTATTCACCGAAGTGGAGGTGGCTAGTCCTGGATATTTACCGAACTGCGAAGCAGTGAGGTAAATATCCAGGACTAGCCACCGACACTGAGGTGAATAATTGTTTTAGTATATACTAAAACAGTGAGATAATTGAGCACAAAAATGACCATTTTTAACTCAAATACTGTTGCCAACGATTACAATTTTGGCGCGTAATGACCGGGCGGCCGCGGCCGTCGCTTTTTCTTGCCGACAATTAAACCTTTTGAAGGCATTTGTTTAGCTCTTGCGGGGAAATTTCTGCAAAAGGAGTTGTGAATTCTTTTTGAATTTAAAATCATTCTATAAAAAAAGATTATTAAATTTAGTTTTAAGCTTATTTATGAACAACTCAACTAAATAAAGTAAGCAAGACTTAAACTTAATTTGCATTTGTAAACAAAAAACTTTTTCACCGGTTTTATCGATAAATTCGTGTCAGAAAGACAAAGCTTTACCTGTTAAAACTTCCAATCCGAACTTCGTCACCTTCTTCGTGTATTTCGGAAACAGCTTGCTTGATTAGTTGTGAAATTTCTTTGTTTGTTTACGGCAGCAAACCGAGAAGGCATTTTGCTCGCAACTTACGCGAGTTTGGCGTCGCTCGCTCGGAGGAACTGGAGGTGAATCAGTGAATAGTGCAGGATATTCACTGATTGAGTAGCCAATCAGAGCGCGCGAAAAACACTATCCACTGTTTTAGTATATACTAAAACAAAATATACAATTTGGCTTTAACTTATTACAACAGTTACTAGAAAATTAATATTATAAATGTGTATCTGTGAAGTATTGCTCCCGCTTGAATGTCTGGTAAGGAGTACTTGGCTCGCTGTCTGAGTAGTCGAGTTTTTCATCGTCGTACTACGAACAAAAGAATTAAATTAGTGACAGAAATATACGGAAACGTCTTCAAACACATTGTGGATCAGTGAAATGTTGTAAACTTCCCAAAGAAGCCCCGGGGTTACATTTTCAAAGGCCTTCCTTGAGGAACATACAAAGGCGAGCTTGATAGAAGGGAAATTTGCGTTTCAAAATCAGCTGGGCTACAAGGGAAGGGAAGTAAGTCGCAGCAAGCAATATTTAATGAGCAAATGATAATATTGAGGGTCGGGACTTCAAACACAACCGTGAAATTAGAATACATTTTTTATCATTAAGAGGATGAGGGAAAACTGGCCAGTGGCAAGATGAATGTTGCCTGGGCTAGGGTGGATGTCTACGGTAGGTTTATCATAAAAAATACTGCCCGAAGACGAACTGTCTTGGAAATCACTTCCCCCTCCGTCCCTCATCAGTTTGAAACTTTATTTTCTGTGCATTTTACCAGATTACAGGGTTTTTTTGGCTTTACAACGCTTTACAGATTTGTGCAGTATTTTTTTTTGACAAAAATACATTACTGGAGTAGAAGGCCGGGAAAGAGTTTCTTACCAGTCCAGAATCCCTGTCCCTGCTGTAGGTCTTGAGGTATCCATCCCAGTCCTGACTTACATCCAGAGGGACCTTGTGTCCACTGCCAGAGCGGTAAGAGCCATACTGTTCATTCAATCTGTTGAGACGCTCTGTGCTATCATACAAGGCGGTGGTACTGCTATAGTATGGCATTGGCATCGGCTGCATGTCCTGATTGATGATGAAGAAAATTTAAAAAAACTATTGTTCAATGGTTGTTTTCACGTTTAATAAATTGTACTCCTGGATGCATTCTGCTTGTTTTCCTTGCTGAAAAAAGAGATTAGTGTCCAGATGGACAGATCTAATTACTAGTTTCTTATCTGATTATTGAACACTGCACCTTAGTTAAATATTTTATCAGAAACACTCCCATTCCAATTTTGATCCGACATGCATGTGACTCGTCACGTAACTCGTGAGCAAGTACGCATATCCTGTCTTTTTCAATGGTCGTCTTCGCGGGTAATGAGATCACCAGCGGCTGATTGTACTTTTGGGGCAGCGCTACCGCGTTAAACAAAACAAAAAGAACTTACAATCATGCTTCCGTTCTTCCTGTCACTGGACGTGTAAAGACTGGACATTGACGGGGGCCTGGACCTGAGTTTAGTGCGTGGAGGCAAAGGCTCTCGATCACGCACGTAAACTGTTCTATTTCCGCTCGTTCGCCACAGGCAAAGCGCTAACAGGATAAACAGGATCAAGATGGCTACCAGCGCCATGACAGCTATAAACCACGCGCTACTATACCACTCTTCTGAATCAGTGCGTGGCGCTGTAGTTCCCGGTGCGACTTCACCTGAAAACGGTCAGACAGAAACTCACACTACTGTTTGACCTATGGGTCCGCTCATTCGAAAAAAGAAACACACGAAAAGGATCTTATAAATCCTTTTCATCGGAACTTTGGGGACAGCCGAATAACTCTTTTTTCCCCAAGAATGCCACGTTAGGCAAAGATACGAATACCAAAAGCAATTTTACACGAAAAAGGATTTTGTAGGAATTATAAATCTATTAATAGTATGGAGAGGAGAAGTCGTTACGTCACGTTGTCACGGTAGCGAACCGTGGTCCTGTAAATATGGCGGAAAAAAAAAAGAAACAAATGACATGTATGACTTTCCGGTGCATTAATGCACTAAAAAACAAAACGGTAGCCCATACTTTTCTTCCGTTGTTCGACAATGCAAATGGCCGTCTCTGTCAAGAAAGATTGTTCAGATCCACAATTTTTGCTGTAATCTCACCCGGGCTGGTTAAGCCTGCAAAGCAGCGCTGATATCCTTTTCCGGGGCCCCCAATGGACTCAATGCATTACCGGAAGTGCGTTTCGAATTTTTCTTCAACCTGACTAATCATAGCCTCCCTCGCAGCCGTTTTTTGGACGTCACGCAACGCTCGTGTGACATCCAAAAAACGGCTGCGGGGGAGACTAGACCATGGCGCGTACTCAAATTCTGTACACTAGTGGGTACCCAGAACAAGGATTTCGGCTGACTCGCTGACAGACTTAACAAAAAGTTTAGTTTCGTCGGTAACACGGGCTAGACTCGATTCTTTTGATCTCCACTTCAGACTTCACGACTTGATTTTAATTAGGGACGACTGCTAACACCGTCGATAGCGTGCATCTATTCTAAGAAAGAAGGCTCAAGTGTCACGCCTCACTGGATAATTACCTTGTATTTGCACTGTACCACTAGGAGGCGATGTCACGGTGATCTTTCTCCCCTGGACTAAAGTGGTGGCTTTAGCTATATAAGTGTATTCTCCAACATTTCTAGTTCCCAGGTTTCTCTTGTTCTGCGGCCCCTCATAAGTTAGTAGCCCGTTTTCCAACAACTCATAAGTATCCAATGGACCGTTGAGAATGAAGGACTCGCTCCAGTCCACAGCTACCTGGAACCCGCTCACATTAACTCGTGGTCTTACATTCGTGACTATGGGAGCTGGAGAGAATCGTGTAGAGCGTGAGCGACGAAAAATCAAATGAGCCCATCAGAATTCAAAACATACATCATAAACGGCCCCTTATAAGCCCTGGTCCCAGCTGTTCGAAAGGTGGATAACGCTATCCGCGGGATAAATCACTATCCAGTGGATAGCTCAATCGGTTCCCCTAATATTTATCCCTTGGATAGTGACTTATCCGTTGGATAGCGTTATCCAACGTTTGAGCAACCGGGCCCTGAACTTTTTCATCTTTGTAACGGGTTTGAGGAGGGTTACAAACCTGTTTACTGGTAGATGGGCTTATAACTGGGTTCAGGGCGGAATTACGGAATGAGCATGTGCGAACCTTTAGCCAAAGCTTGTAAACAATGGCAAGCTCTTAAATGTTTTCCCGCAAAACAAATAAAAGCGGCAGTTTACGGTACATGTCGCTCCTCGTGGTTGGACAAAATCTCTCACCACCTTTTCAACCAATCATTATCCTGACTAGCTCACTCGCGTTCCCACACTTGGACCGGCTACATAAATTTGTTTCGAATTCTGATTTGCTCATTTGATGTTAGGTGTATGTTGAAAACTATAACCCTGGAAAAACTCCCTTGGGACAGTATTCATATATATTTTTTAAATTTGTGGGTGCCCTCATTAAACAGTTCAACCTTTTCGAAAAATATCATGCAGTTCTCCCTCCCCCCACCCTACACCATGTTGACACGGTGAAACTGTGAACCATGTTGACACTCGGGAAAACAACTCTGTTTGTGGAGTGGGCGAGGGCTTGGGCATGTGTGACTAGAGCAAAGCCCCACAAATGCAAATTTACCAAAACACTTTTGTCATGATTGAGGCAATTACTTCGACTAAGCTTGGCGACACTCATATAAGTAGCTGAGCTATCACCATACCTGATGCTTGGGTCCTGACGGCCTGCTCATCTGACAGACTTGAGTACAGCGTGTTATAGACACGTATCCTGAAGTTATACATAGTGTAAGGAGACAAGTCTCGCACTACATGCCGCCGTGACAGACCTACATTTGGGCCACTCTCAGGTAAGCCTGCAGGACAGCCAACAGCACAGGACTCATGATACAGGACCTCGTACCTGTAAATAAACAATGAAATAAGTATACTGTTGGGCTTCGGTCTCGCTCCTCGTCGCCCTCGCGCGTGCCCTCGAGCAACTGTGACTTCAAAGAAAAATAAGAGACTGTTCGCAGTCCAATACAGTCGAACCTCCCGTAAGCGACCACTAAAGATGCAAAGATTGAGTGGTCGCTTACGAGAAGTGGTCGTTTAAAAGAATCGAACCACAGGACGCCTTTTCCGAGGCGAGGTTCAAGCACATCTACTTTACTTTACTCTATTGCATGCTATGTCTAAGTTACGACATGTGCAGTTCCATGTTGACACAAAAGTTCGTCGCATATTCTAAGTAGCATAGCGCACACAGCTAACATAGGGATCAAAAATGCGTCAAGTGGTCGCTTACAAGAAGTTAAAAAAATAAAAAATCATTAACCGTCAGGTCCAAAAAGTGGTCGCGGTTTATACCGGAGAAGGTCGTTTACTGGAGGCTCCAACTGTAAGGCTTTGACTGGGAAAATGTTGTTGTTTTCGATTGTCGGTCGTTTATGGCAGGTAGTCGCTAACAAGAGTTGGTCATACATGGAATGGAGTGTTTCAGTTTGTACCTTAAACCCTTAAAATCCCTTACTTTACCAGGACTAACTTGGAACCAGAAACTACAATCCTGATACTTGTGACCAATTTCCATACATGTTAACATATTCTAGACCACAATTGTCTGATTCATATACCATAAACCAGACCAAATGGATTGAAAACTCTATCAAAGTGGGCAAATACATAAAGCCCATGCAGGGCAAAACCTCCTTTCCCACCCAGGATAGCGTCACATGACTGTTGCAACCCCACACTCTATGAGAGGCCACAACCCTTGTCCCCCTGCTTATCCGCGTCCGAAGGAAGATCTTAGAAATAATAAAAATCCAAAAACAAACAACAACAACAAAACAATAAAAAGACATTCATTTTTTAACAAATAAAAGTACCACAAGCTGACAACAAGATTTTCATAAGAACTGTTTAACAAGTGGTCGTATGTTCCAAATCAAATTAAAAGGCGGTTCATGACGAGAGGTAAAAACACGAGTACTCGGAGAAAATCCTCTCAGAGCAAGGAACAGGAAAAATAAGAGGCTGAAGCCACATGCGCCGTGACCTTCGCGTTAAAAGCACCGGTTCATAACGTCACCGGTTCATAAGAGGCTGAAGCCACAAGCGCCGTGACCTTCGGTTCATAACGGTCAGGCAGGCAAGTGATCTCAGCACTGCGTCAGCCTGTTTCCTCTACTACCAAAAAAAAAACGACAACAACAATGATAACAAGAAAAACAATGACTCACCGTTGAATGTTTCCATTGGGTTTTCCCGGCGCGTCCCATTCCAACACAACTGTAGTAGCATTTATCTCCACTGGGCGTGGAGCAGAGAACTGTGCAGGGGCTCCCTCCGCAGTCCTCCAGTTAACACTCGGTCCCACAGCGCATCCACCATCAGTACACACGTAAACACGTAGCACATACACAGTAAAGGGCTCGAGCCCGGAGACTTCCCGGAGAGTAGTCAAACCTTCAGATTTATTTTCACCAGAAACTTCTAAAATGTAGTTTCTTATTTCACCATTAGGAGTCCCAGGTTCTACGATTAACACTTCCAAACTAAACGAATGCGTTCTGTTGACCTGCGGGGCTCTGAGTTGTTCAGGCGATGCGCTTAATGTTTGCACTACTGACCAATCGCTCGCCGTCTCACCAACGCTGTTAGCAGAAATAATACGGTACTGGTATCTGAAATACGGCTTCACAGTTGTGTCGTTAAATTCCAACACGGAGCCGTTTGTCACGTTCGCTACAGAAACGACCGGTCCATAAACCTGCTGTTGATTGCCAGACAAAGAATAACCGCGTCGGTGTATTCGATAGAGTAACATGAACCCATTAGGCTTTTGTGGCTCATTCCAATTCACTAACACTCTCCTGGCAGTGATATGCAAGCTTGGGAAGTCCGGAGGGCTCTGACCTTCAGGGGGCGCTTCGTGCGTCCGTGCGGACGCTGCCTCGCCAGTGCTGCATCCTTCCTTTGTACAAGCGCGAATTCTTACTTCATACTCTGTGTAAGGCTGTAAACCAGTTAAGGTGAGCTCCTTTGCAAGACCAGCATTTCTAACTTGAGCGTTGCCTTGAGCTCCTTTAAAACTATACAGCACTTCGTATTTCGTTATAACGCCGTTTGGTTTTCCCGGCACAGACCAGGTGGCTTTCATAGACGTCGGGCTAAGAACTTCAAGCGTTGCTGTGCTGACATTATCTGGCGCACCAGGATTTGTAGGCGGACTATATCCAGGCGGGCTCGACAAGCGGGCGGCAGAGTTGACTGCCGTCACAACGTACGCATACACTGTGAATGGAGCAATGGCATAATCAAGGAATCGCAAATCAGTGCCGTTATATACTTGAGAACCATTTCGCGTTATAAGATAATACAAGATTAAGCCGTTTGGCTCTCGCGGAGCGTTCCATTCAACACGCACAAACGCCGAGCCGCCAACAGTGACAGTTGGAGCATCAAGTCCTTCTGGTTTGGCTTCTAATGTGCGGACCTCAGCTGCAGGACCCTGTGTGCATCCCGCGACAGTACAAGCTTTGATGTAAAACGAGTACTTAGTGTACGGCTCCTTGTTGCTGATGTCAAATGACATTGCAAGGCCTTCATAACGCCGGAAATCCTCTCCAGCCTGGAAGAGTTGATACTTGGTGATAACACCATTGGGCTTCTCCGGCATTCTCCAAGATATTCTAATAGCTACCGGACTCAGCGCTTGTAGAACAGGGGGGTGTACTCCTGAGGGCGGAGCCTGAGATGTACGACGGCTTGATGGAGAGCTTTCTGTACAGCCTCCCCCGGAGCATGCCTCAACTGTGTAGCTATAGACGGTGTAAGGATCTAAACCTTGATCTAAAAAGCTCAACTCGTTTTTCTTGTGTTTGACAGAACCGTTCCTAAACACAATATAATACTGTATCACGCCGTTCGGCTCAAGCGGCTTTGTCCATGACACGTTCAAAGAATGAGCGTCCACGGATGTTACACGTGGGGCGTCCATAGATGCGGGAGGAGCTTGGTCTGTTGTCACGGTAACCTGGTCACTGTCAGTGGACCCACCCTTATTGACTACTCGCACAAAATAACTGTAGCTTCTGTAGGGCATTAATCCGGTGTCCATGTACTGGTAATCCGTCTGGTTTGTATCATTGGTGGAATAGACCAACGAAGACGGCGCGACGGCGCGTTTTCGCCGGCTCTGCACTGCTGTGACCGTTCTATAGATCTCATAACGGATAATCACACCATTTGGAACGACTGGTGGTTTCCAGGTGAGCTGAATGGCTGTTGCGTTTTTAAATCCAATAAGTGGCGGAGCTTGTCCTTGAGGGTTTATCTCGGCGGAGAAAATGACCTGCGAGCGGCCTCGCGTGCAGCCCGCTACCGTGCATGCCTCCAACTGAAACTCGTACGAGGTGTAAGGAATAAGTCTCGAGACTGTATACTCGCGTGGTGCACCTCGGTATATTTGAACTCCGTCTTGGTAGAGGTTATAGTGCGTGATGAGACCGTTTGGATTTCCTGGTTCATCCCAGAACAAGCGCATACTTTTACCATCCGCTGCTTTATCGGCTTGGACAGGTCTAAGGTCGGCTGGTGGGGCTTGTCTCGTCTTAGCTATCGCCCAAGCACTGGTCCCTTCTCGACGATTATTTATTGCGGCAATCAAGAACTGATAGTCCGTATACGGCTTTAAACCATTCACCGTGATGTTCCGGACGTTACTAGCAACACGTGCAGCTACAGTGATGTTGGCGTTACCAGGGACTTGTAACTCTTCTCGGTAACGCACTTCATAATGCGTGACAATACCGTTGGGCTGAGAGGGTGTTGTCCAAGAAACGTAAATAGCAGTAGAGTTGAGCACATTCAGAGAGGGTGGGCTGATACCTTGTGGGGGTCCTTCTAGGGTACGTACGTTCCTCCACGGTCCGTCTACAGAGCCCGCACTATTTCGAACTCGTACTCTATAGGAATACTCAGTGTAACCCAACAAACCGCTGTTCAGACACGTTAACTGCGTTGTAACACAGACGACAAGTGGAGCGCTACTTCCAACCCTACGATATATCTCGTAACGAGTGATGATTCCATTCGGGGAGCTGGGAGGTGACCACGAAATCTGCACAATGTTCCATTCCTGCGCCACTAGCGTGGGAGCCCCTTGACCGATGGGTGCAGCTTCATTGGTAGTAGCGTATTCACGATCTCCTAATCCACAGCCTTTTGCTGTACAAGCCTTGACGCGGACAGAATATACTGTGAATGGATTCAGTCCAGTGATTAATCTATTTTTATTTAGCCCAACATCATATTCAGTTCCATTCACAACCACTGCATAGCCCGTAATGTTCCCATTCGGTTGACCTGGTTCATCCCATTCTGCGAGTATACTGTAAGCACTTTGAACAGCAAGGCGTGGTTTGGGAATAGCCTCGGGCGAACTCTCGGGGGTGGTGGCAGTAGTGACACCGCTACGTGTAGTACCCCCTCCAGTAGTGGCAGAAACTGAATAGCTGTATGTAGTTACAGGTTGTAGACCATTTCCTTTATCTTCGAAGGTGCAGACATCCTTGCCTTCGTTATTTTTATAACAGACATCCGTGCCATTGTAGACAAGCAAGTTTCCTCTAAAGAGCGAGTATTTTACTATTATGCCATTAAGAATATCTGGTTCTGTCCAAGTGGCCTCGATTTCTCGCGAGCCGGTGACGGTCAGGTTCGGCGCACGGACACCTTCAGGAGGTGCTTGCAGTGTTCGTGTGGATGCCAGCGGACTTGCTGTGCAACCTACTTTTGTACAAGCGATAACTTCGAAAGTGTAGTTTGTGTACGGCTGTAGTCCACCAATCAAAAGACTCATACCCAGGCCTTTGTCATTAGGATTCAAACGAATTTTGAAAGTGCTGTTGACCACACGACTCACGTTGTATCGAATGATGTCTCCATTTGGCTTAGGAGGTGTCATCCATGACACGTTTATAGCACTGTAGTTCACCGGAAGTAGAATAGTAGCATTGACATAAGCGGGGGCGGCCTGGTCAGTGTAAATAAGTGATGTCATTTCCGCTGATGCACATTGTGTCGTACAAGCTTCAATAACGTATCGGTATCCAGTAAAAGGCTCCAGTGCCCGGTCTATAAATGTCATATTGAGACCGCTAAATACCAGACGGCGCTGACCGGTTTGGCCGTTAATTCGCGTGAGTCTGTACTCCCCAATAACACCGTTCGGTGTCGTTGGTTTGGTCCACGTGACTCGGACTTCTGATGAAGATATTGCAACGGCAACTGGCGGCGAGAGACCTGCAGGGCGGCCCATCAACGTACGATTCTGTGCAACTGGGCTTGACGCGTTGCCTACATTATTTATAGCAACTAGGTAATAATCGTAAAGAGTGTGCGGAGACAAGTTAGTGTCGTTGTAGAATCGGAGGTTTGGGTTGTACCGATTGTTGAGGATCTCAACAAAACCTGTCGCACAAACGCGCGGCACAGCAGTCGTCGGTGAAAGGTCGTAATAACCCGGTACATAACCACAGAGTAATGTCGTGTTGTCAAAATCGCATCGATCACACATCGCCACATTTGCGTCGGTCTGGTTGCAAATGGTGCCCATTCCACAGCCCACGGTCCCGTTGCTTGATTTGGAAGCGCATGTCTGGTAACTAGAATTATAGCCTTGTTCGCTGCAGCAACTCAAACTGCTATCGACCCGTCTTTTACCGCAGCACTTGTGACTGGATGCAGACTTGTCGGCTGCACTCGTATAGTTGTACACCTGTAAAATTAAGGGATCTGTGTCATGAAATTGATCAAAGTTCAAACAGTAGTAACCGCCACCAAACTGAGTGAAACAATGATAAAGCTCCGTGCAAACGGACGCAACATTGTTAGCCAACAACTCCCAAAATTGTTGGATGTTATATGTTGCGTCCGTTTGCACACCCTGTTGCATGTTGTTGGAAGTTGTTGCGTGTTGTTGCGCAAAGTTTGAAACCGGTGAAACTTTTCAGCCAACAACTTCCAACATTTCTTTTGTTCCGTGATCACCGAAGCGTAGCGCAACAATGTTGGATCCGTTTGCACAGCTCTTCCAACATTGTTGGGGCCACGTACGCTCATTACACATGGTTACAAAGACTTATGGGCTGTATTCTTCCTACGATGCACTGCAGGTCCCAGACTTGTTGGGAGTTGTTGCATCCGTTTGTACACCACTGCCAACACACACGCAACAACTCCCAACATTGTTGGGAGTTGTTGCGCCCGTTTGCACGCAGCCTAACTGTTCATAACATGAACAGCAAATACAAAAGAAAAAACGGAGGGAAAAGCTCCAAGAAGATTGAAACGGATTACAAATGTGGTTTTTGAAATTCTGTTAGCCTAACGTTTGACATAGTGTTTGGAAGACATATTTGTTTGACGCGAAGCCGTAATGTTGCCATTAGCAAGTAATTTCTCAAGTTTCAAAGCGAATAAGGATGCATAATTGGCATTATTAACAAAATGAACTAGACAGCCATGACAGCACAGCCCCTTTAAGGGTCTTTTGCCAAAAATTAACTACACTAAACAATTGCAATTTTCCACCCGGGCTCCTGTTTGCATTGCACTTGTCCCCAAATTCTCAAAGCGGCCCGTCTGACTCCATGTAGTTCACTGTAAGCAATTAATTAATTCAACACACTTTAGAATCTTCCAAATAAGATTTTTTTTATATAACAGTAGTAAAATATCAAAATATCGCACGTACCACAACATCACCCGTTGATCCTCTGCAACACAGGCTCGTAGCTTTAGGAACGTACTGAGTTCCACAACACTCATTACTAGATTCCAGGTCATACGCGGCCCCACGAACCTCATCACCACAGCAGACCTGCGCAGAAGCTACAACGCTTCCACCGCAACACTTTCTTGGAGGTATAGGATCATACAGTGCACCACAGACACACACTTTGCTTCCTCCACTGTTGTAAGGAGTATCCCCACAGCAGGCATTTCCCTGACCCACCACTCTACCCCCCTGAGATGTACGGCAACATACACTGCCTGAAGGAACCCGGATGTAGTCGCCATGGCAACATTGATACTCAGACCGCTGGATATGGAAAGTGTTTCCACAGCAGACGTCGGAGGGAGTATTCTTCCGCAAGTAGTTTGTGCCGCAACAAGTCTTGGCTGGGTCACGTGAATAGAGAACGCCATTACAGCAAATCTAGCGTGGAAAACCGAAAAAAAGGTATTACAGTGGACCAGCAACGACGGCACAGACTGAGTGAGTGAGTGTGAATCAAAGATCACTCAAGTATATCTGGGGCGCTGGTGTATTTTTTGGACGTGGATACGGAAATCAAAATCGGTTGAGACTCAAATTCGGGACTCTTCCCAATGTTTTTTAACTCATGTGAATTCAAATGGCGGCAGATTAAAGCTAAAATGTCTTACTTTCCTTCCAGTTTACGGTCATTAAGATGCCTCACTCCGCTGTTTTCCACGATTTTAACCTTTTCCATTTGTTTGCTTTCGAGTTTATAAAAGATTAGAAGCAATATTTGTTTTATAAGTGTTGTGGAATTATTAGCAGCGTTACGTATGGCTCACCTGATTGCCTGGATTATAACACGTGACACCACATAACTGCTCTGACAGACGGCATTCTATGAAAGTGCATTTAGCTTGTGGAGGAGGGCTGAAACAAATACAACACAGTTCGTTTAGAACGACATTAATCTTGAAGTGATGTTGAGACTATAGAATACAATACTAAGAAGTAGTGTGGGTTTAAAATTCTCTCACACAAGTTATTGATAAAGCTGTATGTACATGTACCTTGTTGGGCACTGGTATACCATTCTTCGGAAGATCTGGTAGCCTGACATGATTCCGTTTGGACGAGATGGGGGCTCTGAAGGAGAAAAACAACATTAGTCATCCAATGACACAAGCAAAGCAACATGGGAGTTAGATAGGGGCGACAAAGCAAAGTTTTGAGGAAAAGCATTGCCCGGTTATCAGAATAATCGAATACACATAGTTCACTCCAAATATCCTGTCTTGTGATTTTGGGTAGGAGGGAAATAGAGAAAAAATGGTTACTTTAATTGAAAGAAATACTACATATAAGCGTTAAGTTAATAGGCGGCATGCAGCGTACAACGTGCGCGCCACAAGCTACAGAAAGTGTTTTCTTACCCCATCGGACTTCAATGAACGTCGAACCTGCTCTAAGTCGTGGAGCAGCGAAACTTGTCGGGGCTGAAGGATTATAAGAAAATAGTTTTAGTACTCGATTCTCACACAGTTGTGGACTACTGAAAAATTGAATCTACTACGGAAGGGGACCCCAAAGGGGTGGGGGATAATGAGGCTAAATTGTTCAACCCCTCAAAAAAGCAAAAGGCCCGAACTTGACCCAAAGAAAAGTACTGGCACAATTGTGTGACGTAATAATGAGAACCCAGGGCTATGTATTGTCGTCAACAACCCCCCACCCACCTCCCCCTGAAAGAAGGTCGGTACAGAAGTCTTTTACCTAAGGAAAGTAACTGCAAAATGTCTAACCCACAAACGTCTTCGGATGTCTGAGCTCCCAAAGGGATTCGTATCATATCTCGTCATCCCTGTCACTATTATACCTGAGTGTTCCTTGGTTGTGGACCACAATGGCCGATGAGACAACTTGTGGCCAGGCTACCCACAGAGTGCTTCTCGCAAGTGCAATTATAGAAGTCTGGATCCTAACGAACTAAAGGTACTTAGATTGTCTAAACGATGACTATCTTGAATCACTCATGTAAATTTACTTTACCACTGATTATGATACTTGGTAATATTGTGTCCTAGTCCATGACAACGCCGTGCGGGCAACCACATGGGTAGTGTCTCATTACTTGGCAATGTACGAGCTCCTCAACCCAACAGTACTAAACCTCCGACCCTCAAATGAAACTTCAACTTTCTAGTTCGACCAAAAGATAATTCGCGAGTTTAGAATAAAAACAAACAGAGGAAATAAAAATTCACCTGCAGAATTCGTAGTTGCTGCTCTGGCGTTGCTCATTGTACAGCCATGCGTGGTACAAACTGCAACCTGTTACAATTACAGAGGAAGGAATTATTAATTATAAGAATGCCATGTGCATCAAGTATAGGCTGAACGACAAACGAATTTAGAAAAAAAAACAACAGACAGGAAAACGAAAAAACAAAGATAAAAATGAACGAGGTGGAGCCGAAACGTATAAGGGAATCAATGCGAACGATTTACTGGCGTCACCAAGTGAAGGCACCAGACTTTTAGCTGAAGGTGGGGCACTCTTAACCAAAAAAGTTCTTCTTGGCCCAGCAGCACTCCGACCCTTTCCCCAAGATCTGCCACTGTGTTCTAATACGCACCTTAATGACATAATAAGTGTATGGCTGCAACCCAGAGACAAGGACTTGACGTGCATCCCCGCTTGTGTTTGTCCATAAGGTGTCGTTTCTGCAAGGCACAATATTATGTTTTGTACTGACGTTATGGGCACTTTCAAGCAGAATTTTTAACACGCCACAACGTGTTATACACACAGCATTTGTTTTTTTTGTAACTAAAGGATTATTACCCGGTTAGACAAACGTTTGAACGAGTAACATTTTCGGGTCTAAGGTTTATAGCATAGACTGTAAAACCGTCATTTTTTTTCTTCTGAAAATCAGCACCGGCGTGAGATTATTGCCGGTTTTCAAGTTTCATTCAGTTCCAACCCTTGATCCAGGACTTTCGTTCGCCCGCTCCCGCGTTCTTGACCTACGCAAAAATACGGACTGTTTCTCAATCTAAGGTAAGCATCAAACGCAAAAAAATAATGCAAAGAGTTTTATAGGTTAACACGTATGATGAGTTAAACATTTGGCAAAACAGTCTTTACAAGACCCCTACCAGCCATACGCCAGCTAATAGTGGGCGAGGTCAGTTTGTTTTGTTAACATATACAAAGCTGTCCAGAACGGAAATCTTAGGGACAGAGGAGTCAGAGTGACCTTGGCAGGAGGTTAAACCAAGGGAATGTATCGACTGCCTGCTGAGACAAAGAGGTGGTCGCTACAAAGAGGTGGTAGACGCTAGTACAATGTAGAGGTTCAACTGTGTCTAGGGAACTGAACGTAAGTGTGTACTCACACATAGATCTTGTAGAGGATAACATTTCCATTAGGATTTGTGGGTGGACTCCAACTCACACGGATAGTAGTACTGTTAATAGTGTACAGTGTTGGAGGGCCAAATCCTTCGGGCACTAGGAAGAACAACACAAACACCACAGTCAGTACGTGCGGAGAATATCTTGAAATTTAAGGTGGTTCCTTAGAGTATTTTCTAATGACGCTAGCTACAAACATTTTACTCTTATGGAGACCGATAGCGACTTGTAACCGGTGTAACATTGTCTCCTCTCATAAGTTTTTGACCTACACTAATAAAACTTTTTGCACAATGAGCTTCAATAGAAAGTTCATAAAGTTTTTTCGGGGAATATTTCGAAACTGAGAGGCCATGTTTGTTTTAATTTTTGCGTGGAAGTCGCGCGGCTTTTAAAGGTCGCGCCATACTAGAGCTCAAGCTGCGCACGGCCAATTTACTCTGGGGAGCCACCTTAAGCGCGTGAAAAACGACCACTAAAATTAACGCTTACTTCCATCCAAGGTTCTTATCCGGAATGCATCACTCTTGAAGGTGCCCGCTCCGTTGTTCAACTCAACCTGGTGAAAACAGGGTAGGGGATTTGTAACTCACCTATATTTCATTTTTTAGTGGAGTAACTTTCAAACTGTACACAAAGTGTACACAACACTTTCTTAAGGTGCTTGCATGATGCAAGTAAGTAAGCAAATAAGCGTGTTGCTTTGCTTCAGTCCAGCCTCAAAACCCACGACCTGCTCGCCATGTGAGACGCCCATATCGACGCCCATAGCTCAGTGGCTAGAGCGTCCTAGCTGTATTTGGAAGGTCGTGGATTCGATTATCCGCTGGGGTTTCGATTATTTCTGAATATTTCTTAGTTGTACGTAATATCTATTTCTAATAACTTTCAAATGCATGGGTTATTTCTAAAATATGCAGGCTTCAAACTATCAATATAGCCCAATAACATGATAAAGACGTAAAGGACTCTTACATAAAAAGTGTAATAAGTGTTGGCCTTGAGATTTTTTACTGTCACGCTAGTTCGGTTGCCAGGGAACTGACCCACGCGACTAACAGGTGCTCCCGGAAGTGAAGACTCGGCAATATCTACTATATATGTCACTACAGCGCCACGCAGCTGCTTGATTTCCGGTGGATACCACGTGATCAACAAAGTCGTGTGATTCAGGGCAGTACCGTTGACGGTAGGACCTGCTAAGGGAGGGGCAGGATTTGTTCTGTAGGGTAGGGAGGGGTTGCTGGTGGTGTTGCCTTGTGCGGTTGTCACTGTAACCTAAAAATATTAAGAAAATAAAATGTAGATGTAGTTAAAACATATGTAAGCAATCCACAGGTCAACGGGGGTTCTGAATTTCGTCCTGCTGATGTTGTCTCCAACCAGTTGTCTCTAAATTAACTATGTGGGAAGTGATAAAAAAAATAAATAATACTTCAAAGTTGAGCCATAAGGCAAAAAGATGTATAAGACAACAGGAACTTGTTAGCTTACAGTAAAATAAACTTTTTGCAGTAACCTTCCACAGAATTTGAGGCTGGGAAAGCATACTACCGTTAAGGTTCGCCAAACGTAAAAGGAATGGTGAAAAAAAAAAACTTTACATTTTGTAAAGACTTCAAATAATCCTTTGCAAACTACCGTCTGGCACGAAATTTTCGCGGGTTCTAATTCTTGCGATTTATCAAGCGATCCGCAAAAATAAGTTCCCGCAAATAAAAACTAACGCAAACGTTTTCCCGCAAAAATTTACTTTAGATTAAATATTCTCTAACTTAAATTCACTACACAAAAATACAGTACTAAGAAATCGTGTTTGTTCAATCACAACTTGTCTCTTTCATTCAGAAACAAAACGGTATACAACGAAATACTGGTTTATTGTTTGAAAATATGTATTTCTATTGCAAGTACTCGATAAAAAACGAAAATATTTTCAATCCTGGCTACTTTCTGAGAATCGCAAAAATTAGTTCCCGCAAAACAAAAAAAAATCGTCAATCCGCCAAAATAAAGTCCCGCAAAAATTTCGTGCACACGGTAGTAAGGATACTGTGAAAGGATTAAAACCAGGAGTCATTTCAAAAGTAGGGTGAGTATGATCGTCCGGTTGAACGTAGTCCTGAATAGGACTGTTGTTGTTGTTGACAGTGACTGACGTTTCCACAACCTGTGCGGTAGTCAACTTCAGAGTCAAAGTGAGTTGTATAACGTCAGTTAAGAAAACTTGCCTAATTCTTTTTGTAACTAACCTTATACTGCTGTAATGAGTAGATTCCTAGTAGAACATCGATGAAGACCCGATCTCCCGGTCGGGCCCCGACTTTATAAACCTGTGTATACTCAGTGGGTGAAGAAATGTTATTGGTAACCAGGTCCTCGACTGTTCTCCTGAACAGCACATACCCCTCTACCAAACCGTTCGGCCTAATAGGTGGATCCCAGCTCACGCTCATTTTCGTTTGCGACAGCGGCTGCGCGATGGGCGCAGGCTGATTTTCAGGTGCAGCGGGATGTGTACGGACTTGAGACGGTGAGCTGCTACCACATCCCCCAATTGTACATGCGCTGACAATGACGTTGTACAGAATGTACGGATCCAGTGACGTAACATTAACATTGAAGGGCGCGGCATTAACGGTGACGTTGCGAGAGGTTTGCTGATGTATGACTCTGATGATGTAACGTGTTACGTTGCCGTTTGGTACGCTTGGTGCGGTCCATTTGACATTTATAGCGTATGGACTGAGCGCTTGGACAGAAGGCGCTGCGATTCCCTCGGGGTCTGTAAAAGGAGAGAACAAATCACGTCAAGCTAAGGCGAGTTTCCTTTATAAATGTCGACGGCACATTCTTAAAATTTAACCGCCATTCTAATCTCATGCCACAGCATGCGGTTTCCGCCAAAAATTCGAACTTTAAAGTTTTTCCCTGTTACTCTATCCCCCTTACCACCATGCTACAAGTAACGAGTAGTTCAAGTTTCCACTATTTCAAGGGTTTGGAATATTAAAAAATACTTTAAGTAGAAGAAGAATCTTGAAATTTTGGGTTTCCAGTAATAAAAACCTGATAAAACTCCTTCACTGGTGGGCCAAGCAGCCAAAATGTATTTGTTCACACTCTCCCTCTTGAATGAAAGCACAGATTTAAAACATGATAGAGATACTTGTCTAGCCTACAAATACAGTCGTTTCTCCTCGCTTCTGGCCGCTAGCGTCTTGGAGCGTGGAGAAACGGCTATATTCTATTCACAGGCTAGTACTTGTCTAATCCAGAACAGATGTGGTAGTGGCACTGACTGCTAACAAAAGTGAAAATCAAACGTCATTGCCACGTAAGAACTGGAACAGGATGATAAGGTTTATAGTAAATATACTTTTGTATGACGACATGCGCATGCGCACTTACCTCCCTGACCAGTGGTAACGTTGCTATACGGGCTCGGATCCCCCGGGCCGCTGTTAAACGCGATAACGCGGTAATGATACGTAGTTAGCGGCTGTACTGTATTATCCACATATCGCCGCGAAAGAGAAGCATTCACTTCAGAAATAACCGAGGGATTTCCACCAGACATAAGTCGCCGCTGAATCTGGTATTTCAGTATGACACCGTTAGGTACTGCAGGGGGGTCCCATTCTATTATTACTGTTCTACCCGTGGGGGATGAAAGCCTTGGGGCAGATAACCCCTGGGGACCTGCAAGAACAAGCACGTCATAAATCTTGAGTTTGTCTACTTTTCGTCTCAACCTCGTTCCCAGGGTCTCTCCTCTTCACGTTCCCTGAAGCAAGGCCTGGTAACGAGGTTGATTCCATTTCTGCTTCTATTCGGGCAGGCTGTTTATTCTTACTTCTACATCACGGAAATAAGAAGAAGTCGTCTGCTCGCTCTAGATGGGATCTGTTCATGGGTAGAAAAATATCCTCTTTCGAAGCATTCCATATCATTGGCAAGTTCATAACACCTTGGAAAAAACTATATACGAAACTGGAATAACATTATATACAATCTTTAAAACGGGTAGCCCATTTATAAAAGAAGGGTCTCTAAGTCGACTCGACATTGACTTTATCAATAGATAACCTATCCTTAGACCTAGTGTAATAGGTAGGCATGAACATCATAAGTTCGCTGTTGGAAATACTCTGGAAATATTCTCAAGCATTAGACCTCTTTCGCAACTTCAGCTAGACCAAAACTCTAGTTTCAAGATTGAATGAGCTCAAATGCCCAACTTTTTTTTTATAAATTGTGACCTGTTGGATGACTCAAGATTCCTTTCAAGTTCACTCTGTGTAAATTATGGAGTCTTGTAGAGTAGTTATAACTTTGAAGTCTGTGGACAAAATCCTATGGTGAGACCATTCATATGAAACCTATCTAGCAGTACTTTCACATAGTACTTTTTGATTTCAAACATTTTACAAGATGAAATGTGAAAGACTTTCTTGAAATTTTTACTTTGGTCACTTTTGGGATTGAAATGGTTCAGGCATATTACCAGATTCTAAGGTCTGCTGAGGCGCTGAGTCCGAACTGCTACTGCAACCGACCGCTGTACACACACTCAGCCTGAACACGTAGACCGTGAAAGGCTGGAGGCCAGTCACCCTGTAGCTGGTGATGTTTCCAGTGACTCTTGCGATCTCTGTGCCATTTTGGTAGATGACATAATGCAAAAGCACACCATTGGCTGGATCAGGTGGGTCCCATTTCACTGTCAGTGAAGTTGAGGCGACGTCTCTAAACACCGGTGGATCTGGAGAACTGGGAACTAAAAGAATACGGGAAGAAGTGTAGAATAATGCCTTCAGTTATATAAATATAATTAAATTCAAGTGTGTTTGCTGTTTGCTTGCCGAAGAAGCGACAGAACCGAAAAAAAAAAAAACAATTATCTGTGATTCTAAACACCCTCTCTCGTATTCACTCGTAGCCGAAAGTAGGTTTTTATTTTTCAGACCAAAGCGCAAATAATTCTCCTCATCGTTGCACCTAATACGCCATAAAACCGGATTTTAATTAATGCAAGGGCATATCTTTCTTTCTTTAGGACAAAGCTGTTAAATGATCTTTAAGTTCAGCATATTATTATCAGAGTATAAGTGCTAATCAGGAGAACATCTCCCCACGGTACCAACTTACCGTCTTCAAAGGTTGAGGCCTGACTCCAAGGACTAAACCCAGATCCCGCAATAGTGCTGGCGTTGACTCGGAATTCATAGATCGTAAAAGGCTGGAGATTAGTAACGGTAAAACTGAATCCCAATCCACTGAATAACACTGTTGGCACGCCGCTCTGATGCAGTCCATACCCGAGAATAATCCCATTAGGCAATGCAGGAGGCTCCCAAGAGACGTGAACTGAGGTGGAACTTAATACGGTTACGTTGGGCGCTTTCAAACCACCAGGAACTGAAAATAAAGATTTAAAGGGATTTGATACGCTTACTGAAACAAAGAGTCGGCTATTTCAAAGATAGTCTAACTTGGGCCGCCGTGTAAGACTGAAACAGAGGTCCTACAGTTTTGTTTGAAAAGGATTATTTCCAGAAGCTAAACAGCTTTTCTAGTGAATGATATATGCTGTCCTGAAACTGTTTACGATAAACATTCGATATTAGCATTGGAAAATTGAAAATGGAAGGACACGGTTTTGACATACATTTGTTATTATTTGCTATCTCGATCAGAAAGGAACTACTTTAAGTGTGACTTACCTCCTTCAGGAGTAGAGCCAGTAACGTTATTGCTAAGAATGAAACCAACAGAATTGGACGCATTCACCCAGAAGGTGTAGTTGTTAAAGGGAATGAGACCATTGTATATGAAATCTTTATCAGCTTCTTCCACAGAAATTCCTCTCTCAACGCGCTCTTCTGTTCTCAGCTCTGCGGAGCCTGGCACTAAGAAACTTCCTTGGATCATCAAATTATAGAATAGCCTTCCATTGGGCACTGCCACGCGAGTCCAACGAGCATTAACCGCTGTAGCATTGCGGATGCTTGCTGTCAGGGTAACGGTTCCGTTCGGTGCTATTTCTTGTGTGAAGGCAACCGCTATGGCACCGTAGGCGCAGCCTTGAGCTGTACACGCTCGCACACGGAAGGTATGGCGACTATACGGGGTGAAACCACTTGCTGTGTAATTTGACAGTTGCGTCTCGTTCAGCACGGGATCAACAATGCTGTCCTGGTACAGTTCGTAGCGCGTGATGATCCCATTGGGTTTGTCTGGTTTCAGAATGATCACATATAGAGCATACGGACTGAGGGCCACCACGGTGGGGGCTGGGATGTCATCGGGGATATCCTCGTGTGTTCTCACTTGGGTCGCATTACTGAAGGTTCCGCCTCCACCGGTAAAGGGGCGTACTCGAACAAAGTATAATGTTCCTGCGGTGAGGTTTCTAACAACGGTGCTAAACACATTTGGAGTGGCATTGAATTTCGAGACATAAGCACTCAGAACATCGCTGGTTGCAAACAGTACTTCATAACGCACGATCGCCCCATTGAGAATGCTAGGTACTTCCCAGTTCACTTCCACCTCAGTTCTACCGCGGACTATTACCCTTGGGGTTTTTACCCCCTCCGGAGGTAACTCTCCTGTTCTTATGCGCACCACCGGGCCTTGGGCGCAGCCAATTCGTGTACAGGCGGTCAGCTGCAGAGCATACTCGGTGTAAACTTCTAAGTTTGATATTGTGAAGTTGTTATCTGAACCACTGTACACACGTTGCCCATCCACTGTGAGGTTATATAGAATTATAATTCCATTGGGATATGCAGGCCCGGCCCAGGACACTTCAAGTTCTCTGGGGCGTCGGACAGCTGAGGGACCCTGAACTCCGGCTGGAACTGAAATAAAAACGTTTGTTTAACTCTTAAGTAATTACTTTGAGTAAAACCCATGGGATCATTTTAAAGAGGATGTTAGCTTCAGCTAGCTTCATGAAGGGGGGCTACAAATTACTCTCTTACAACCAAATGTTTAAAATACCTGACTCCTCAGTGGTGACATTTTTACCAGGTCCCACTGAACTTCCTCCAGCCGTGAAGGCCTGGATCTTTATTTCATAAATTGTGTAAGGTTGAAGTCCTGAGACAGTGGTGTTCAAGACACCAGTATCCGACACAACCTTCTCTGCAGGAACCGCCTGACGGGGGTGGACACGGTAAGATAATATTCTGTACTCTGTAAGGACCCCATTCGGCCGGGCTGGCGGTGCCCAGGTTACTCTCACTTCTGTTCCGCCTGGAAGAGGAATCAGCTGTATGGGAGCCTGGAGACCAGTTGGCGCTGTTAACGGGTAAACAAGATACGGGTAAGTAAGATGTAAAAAATCGCCACATGATGAAAAGTGTTTTGGTATATTTCTTTTATAGTGGTAGTGGGAATTTCTGAGCTCTGTATTAAAATCTACCCCATTTACAGTCCTTGAACTCACATTGATGCTAAAAAGTCCCGCTATAGATGACTTGACGGCGGTTTTTCTTTCTGGTTCTTTACTGTAAAGTGACTTAGCTCAATCTTACCTCCTTGCCCGCTGCGGGTAGCAATCCACGCACTTTTAGCCGAACCTGTTGTTCCAGCATGATAGCTTTCTACACGGTACAGATAATCTAAAAGAAAGACAACAGTGCATTGAATTAAAATTTCTGTAAACAGATCATAAATCTTACCTCCTTTAAATACAGTAAACACGCAAACTTTAAAGAGATTCTTTCTTAACGGTAGCAATGTTCAGGACGGACGTGTAGGAAAACAGGTGGCTTTCCACATTTACAGGTTTAAGTATTGTGGATTGCATTTTGTATTCGTTGGTTGTCTATGGGGCAATGTTATTGGTTGTGTTTGCCACTCAAACAATTTTCAAAGATTCAGTGAGTTGCTCAGTTGCTGCCATAAATATGAAGCCAACTTGAGATGGACTTGAAAACTGAGAGTTCGCACGCTATGGAAAGGTGCGGAGGGGTGAAGTTCTCCTTACAATTATCTCATTACAAAAAATACGACAACAACAAGAACAAAAGACCAAAACTAACCGGTGAATGTTTCAACTGAAGAATCGTTAAACTTCTCATTCTTTCCAGAATACACCACAGAACTGTTAAAAGGCAAACAGCTCCCCCTCTGTCTGCTGACCGGTATCGTGGACTCAGGAAGACAGCCATCAAGATCAGCATTATACATGTCCATGACGTCACTTTGATAATCGATCTCTGATGCCGCAGAAAAGACTTTAATGCAGCCACCAAACGAGGTATCTACATTCACACCAGCCTGCCGGGCAATCCTCTCAGCTTGGGAACCCCACGGGACCCCTCCTACGTACACAGACTGAACCAGAAGGTTGCTAATTCCGGAAGTGACGTCATTTTTGTTGTCGAGTTTAATGTTCAGCTGGCCGACTTGAAAGTTAGTGACAGTCAAGTTATGCCAACGTCCATCGCAGATCTCCCCGGCTGAGGGTTGAATCGTTAGGTTTCCGTGCATGCTGGACGTCGAGTACATCGTTGCAACTTGATTATCAGCGAACTGGATCGCGAACCAACTTGTCGCTCCGTGTGCAAATAGAAGCAATCCGGAGGAAAGCTGTGTGCGAAAATTGAGAGTGAAGCTGAAGATGTTGCTTTGAAGAACATCGGTAGTCTGTCTGTTTATCTCAATATATCCTCCTCCCCGGAGGAAAACTGCCTTCTTTTTGTCCCTTGCTGGGCAGCCATTTCTTTGCGGTTCAACTCCGACTGCCTCCAGTGCGGAAGTCCAATCCAAGCTCTGCGATTCCGAAGTGATTCCGCGCAGGCAACCAATGAAATTGTGCCTTAAAATTTCCGAATTACCAGTATTAGGACGGAAGAAAACGAAAGATGGAGGAAGCCCGCCGATATACACTCCCGTGTCGGCGGAAATCACAGTAGTTGATCCTGGACTGTCTTGACTCGCACTATAACTATCCACCGTGAGAGTGCCCCGTCGGTTCTTACGATTTATCTGCACATTATGCCACTGGTTATCATCAAAGCGCACAGACTGGCTGATTGTGAAGGCAGCAGGACCGTCCTGACTATCAAAAATCAGCCAAGGTTTGCCGTCGCGCAGTTGAACAGCTAACATGTCAGTTTGAGAGCCATCGGACACAAGAAACAGTATCAGTCCAAACGCGTATTGGGTGCGGAACCAAAGCTCGATGTTGTTTTCAGCACCAGCTCTGACAAAGCCTGACGGAAACTTGTAGTATCCAAGGCCTGGGAAATGAACTCCTGACGTCACTAAGGGAGGAGGGTGGTGGAGTGCTGAATACGCTCGGCTCACGTTATAGCTCGGCGGCAAAGGACCGTTAGGAGTCTGGGGTTGGGACCAGTTCAGGTATACTGTGGATGAATCAACTGAAAAGACTTCCGGTGAACTTTGACCTTCGGGAGCTGTGTAAAGAGGAAAACCAGCTGTTAAGTTGTGTAAAAAAGTACTCTGACTAAGATGTAGTAAAATATTTGTAATTTTCTTAAGAGAAACCCTAACTCAGGATATAAGTTAACCTAACGAAGGCCTGGATGTTTCGTTATCACCTTCTTCGTATGAGGCCGTGTGAATCTTTCATAGCAAACATTCCCGTAGGAACAAGAGCGAGACCAAAAATATAAAGAGGTGTGGGGTAATAGTAAAGGTTGCTCTTGCTCCAACATCCGCGCTTTGTGCGCACAGGGGGAAGGTGCAACCCAGACAAAGCCCCCAACCTTGATAATAAAAGTAGGCAAAGGTTATGGGGCTGATAAAAAAGAGATATTGATGGGGTGCAGAAACACTTTTCACACCTCGTAGAATACTTGCTTCGCAGGCTAAGCCATGCTATTCACACAGAAATTATTACCCCCCACCCCACACTACAAATATAGTAACAAAAAGCTTTTATATTCTCCACAGATAGTCCTTAAATCAAGGCAATGTACTTCCTCATTACTCACCTGAAGGTTTTGTGCGAGCAAGGGCTGCCGCACTATGACCTGAACAGTCATAGCTATTACAAGCCCTCACTGTAAATTTATATTCTGTATATGGCTGCAGTTGATCTACCATTCCTTGCCGCTGGGATCCAGTTGCCATAGTAGCTTCCACGGCCGTTGTATTTGAAGGGGGCTGATATTTGTAAATAATATAGCGTATGATGATTCCTTGTGGGTTCTGGGGAGGACTCCAGGAAACAAGGACCGCGCTACTGTTGAAGGGACTTGCACTAGGGTTCATTGCACTTTCGCCAAGAGGAGCTAAGAATGAAAAAACAAGTGGCGTAAATCAGTTATTACGCTTTTCCTTAAATAAAAAAACTTTTTTGACCACGTTTAAAGTAAGAAATGAAAATATTCAAGGTTTTTTTTAGCCGTGACGTTCACTCTCATTAGTTAGTGCAAATTGAATTCGTTGGTTGTTGCCGCTAACATAGCATCCCTGCATGCATAATGAGCAGTGAAGTTTTGTAGAATACTTTCTGTATGCGAATGAAAAAATCGCATGCGTAAAGTTCCTATGAAGGCATTTATATGGAGTTCAACTCCTGAGAAAACTGAGCTGAAAGAAACCGTAGCAGCTACCTTCTGTGTGAATTCACTGCTCATAACGTGTGCAAGGACGAAGAAATGAATCTGATATCGGCAACGACTAACTACAATTTTCAAACAACGAATTCATTAACAGAATGTACGGGGGTACGCTTGACTCACCGCTAGCTTGACAGTAGCTATGATGACTGGCAAGCCAGAGGCAGTACAATAAAAACAACCAAAGCTGCAAGACAAGTTTTGATGTTGGTTCTCAAAGTGGCTTTTCGACATTACAATTTTAGAAGATGTAACAACACAAAGCACGCGACCGACAACAGAGAATAATCACGTTACATAAAATGACTCACTTCCTTCCCCAGTTCTATGGCGTGTCCAGTCGCTCGCTCGGTCACCGCTGACTTGCGCAGTAGTGGTGATAACGCGAAACTCATACTCCGTGAATGGCTGCAGCCCCGTGACGTTGGTCTTTCTAAAGTGTACTGGATTAGAGTCATGCGCCGGGTTGCTGTTGTACTTCAAAGTTCCAACTCCTTGGAATGGTGAGCTCCGCATGTACAACTCATAGCGCAGGACCCTTCCGTTTGGTTCTGGCGGCTCGTCCCACTTCACCTCTACAGCTTTGCCTCCCGGAAATGACGTCACATTGGGTGAAGGCTGAAAGTCGGGAAGCGTCGGAGCTGTCACGATAGTTGTCACATTACTTCGACCACATCCTCCATTAGTGCACGCTTCCACCGAAAAGTTATACACAGTATAAGGGACGAGTCCGCCTACACCGCACGTGAAAATAATACCTCTGCAATGAATAACCTCAACTGAGCTTCTGCTACTTGTAGAAATCAACCGATACTCAATGACGCGCCCGTTCGGTGAACTGGGAAGCTGCCATGACGCGGTTACATTTCGCGGAAGAATATTGGTGATGCTCGGTGGGGAAATACCGCCGGGAGCGTCTTGAAAGGTCCGATATACTCTTCCGTCGTCCAAACTTCTCGTACTACCCGATTCCGTGTAGGTAATGATGTAGTAGTAATACACGGTATCTGGGGTCAGTGACGTGTCGTTGAATGTTCGATTCAGTCCGCTGTAGATCTGTGTGCCATTTCTGTAGAGCTCGTACCGTATGATAATGCCGTTAGGATTGTCAGGCGGGGACCATGTTAGCATTATGAAACGAGGAGACAGAACTGTTGCGAATGGTGCCGGCTGTTCTGAGGGAGCTAAGGTGAAAACACAAGAAATGTCACTGGAAACAAGAAAAATGTGTCATTTTCTTTTGATTATTAAGACTAAATTCACCCTCAAGTGCCAGAGACTTTTCATGCGCGGTTTCCGGTTGCGGCGAAGTCTTTATAGTTACCCGGCCGAAAGCGTACATCTGGCCGTAAGGGAGAGAAAACAAACCTCTGGTACCTACGGTAGATTGAAATGTTACAAACAATTTGAAATAAATCTGGGTGGATAAAGGTACGGGTCAAACGGACTTGCACGAGATACTGGGAAACTGCTAACCTACCCCTCCCCCAACCAAACGTTAAAACCTGACCAACTTCTTACTTACAGCAGAATGCTACACTATGGGAGGGTAGGTGGGTATTTTACGTTTAAACATGACTGAATGCAGTCCATACCGGTTACAGCTAACACCAACGTTACATTTCGTAGGCTTATTGACTAATTAAGAGTTTAACAGTTCCCTTTTGTCTGTATAACCACAGACAGATTCATAAAAAGCGAAGGGGTCGACGATGACAATTTAACTATTTACGGTAGGAAAAGATTAACGTACCTCCACTGCAGCCATACTTGTTGTTCTGTTGAAGATTAACTGTTCCACTTTTGCACTGATCACATTTGTTTCCCTCCACGTTCTGTTTACAAGTACACTTGCCGCTTTCATCGCACTGACTAAGCAGACTCCCGGCTTCACTGCAGTTGCAGGCTATACAGCTAGAGTAAATACAACAAGGCATTATAACAAAGGAAGTTTAGCTGCAGGCAAAGCGACATATGCTCGAGTTAAAGAGGTTTTGGTATGAAAGTGGCTGTGTCGCGGCTGTCTAAAGCTGTTAGGACTCTACGTCAGAATGTGTTTAACCGTTTTTTTTGCTAGCCACTTGGGCCGGTATTTCTCCACGAATACGCGCTCATTTCCCAAACAAAACTGCCGACTGGTAATCTAGCCTCTTTTGCATACGTTCTCAAGGCTTTGTCACGCGTTACTCCACCCCCTCCCTACCCCGTGAATTCCGCCTGGGTAGGAGGCTATTGGTAGACAAGCCCTCAAATATTTACGCTAGAAAGAAAAACAACGGTACTTTATTTTTACATTGATTCAGAACACTAATAATCTATATCGTACCTTCCTGTAGCTGTAAAACCATAGTAATCAGCGATACAACGATCACATTGACGTCCACCAATATTGGCCTTGCATGTACAGTAACCAGTATCGTTACAGTTTCTACCAACAGAGCCATCATTATTGCACCGACATTCGACACATCCTTGGCCCGAGGGATTCCAATAGTACGCAGAGACACAGGAGTCGCATCGCAATCCAGTCACGCTGGACAGACAAGGACATTGGCCATTGCTAGAACATTGAAGTTCATCTGAAAAAGAAGGAGGCGAAAAGTTAACGCGGTTATGGCTAAAGCATGCAGTTTTCCGATATTTTTTGTCATATCAATACCCGTAGAGTGAGACCGAGTAAGAAAATAACTGAGAAAAGAGACCTTTTCATCGCTTTTGACGCCATCTTGGCTGAACGTGAGGGGAGGGGAGGGGAGGGGAGGGGAAGGAAAAAGAGGATTTAAAGATAATAGTTGGGTGAGATTTGGCGGATTTGAGCTCCTATAACTCTGGCCCTAATTGTTCCAAAGTTGAATAGCGCTATCCACGAGATAAATCCCTATCCAGCGGATGAGTATTAGTGAAACCAGTGGCGCTATCCATCCCTATCCAGATTTATCCGGTGGATAGCATTATCTACCTTTTGAACAACTGGGGCCTGGTATATTAAGCTCGATTAGAACAGAAGCGTAGGTATTTAAAAAAGTCGGGTACTATCCTGAAATTATTTCTTTCCAAATTATGGAAACGGACACCTCTGTAAAACGGACACCTAGAGTTGATCCCTGCTGTTCTTTACTACTATAAGACGGACATCATTCGCCCACAGACACTTCTTGCCGGTCTCAAAGGTGTTCTCTTAGAGAGAGTTGACGGCTATAATACGTAAATTGCACAAATAAGCTGAAGTGTACTTACCTGGACTTTTTCTGTCGCCATCAATAGTGCCTTTTGGAAAACAATTACATGGTTCACATCCATTGGGATTTGATTGATTGAGACCAAACGTTCCCACTTTACACTGGTTACACCTCTGCCCGATCACCAATGGCTTACAGGTACAGTTTCCAGACTGCTGATCGCACTGTCCCGATCCTCCCACAGTGCCTTTGGTATCGCACGCACACTGTTCACAGCCCTGAGGGTTGCTTTGTGACAGGTTAAAAAATCCTGATTTACATCGATCACAGTTATTGCCCTCCACGTTCAGCTTGCAGGAGCAGACACCGGTGTTTTTGTTACACTTGTCCAAGAGTGATGGAGGCGTTCCCTCCACGGAGCAGTTACAAGAGGTGCAGCCATTTTGTGTGAGAGTATGGTAGCCATCCGCGCACTGATCACATTTTCTTCCGATCACACCCTCCTTACAAGAGCATTGCCCTGTAGTTGAATTGCACGTGTTCACACTTCCGGGTGTGGTCCCAAAGGGATCACAGTCACATGTTTTACAGCCTAAAGCGTCTTGTCCAGAAAGACCCCAATACCCAGATCTGCATGTGTTACACGTCCTACCTGTAAAATATACAACAGTAAAGAGTAAGGTAACATATATGTACTGCCATAGAAACGGACATCCGCGAATTTATAACTTTTATAGAAGGTGATGTTATAGGAGACGATTGGCAACGACGGATTTTAGCGCAACATACCGTTGCAACATTGTTACGACATTATTTCGAATGGATGCAACATTGTTCCAATATTGCGACACTGTATTGCGCTAAGAATCACCGTTGCGAATCGTCTCGTGTATTCTACTTGAAAACTTCCTCACAAGCCGACTTTTTGGAGTAGCGAAACCCAACCAAAACGGACTTTTAGAAAGTCTAGAAGCAATTATAAATCTTGTATTTAATACACAAATATTTCTCAAGTTTATATTGCAAGACACTACGGACGATACTTCCACCTTTGCTTTACCTAGAACAGGAAATTCATTTCAAAACTTGCTCTTCAACAACCACTATAACTTGATTATCAAACTAATCGGTTTTCTATGAATTCCCTTCAAAGGATCAATGTTAAATAACACGCTTATATCGAGGAACTTTCATCTTTCAGCATTTCCCAGCCCAAACAATGTTGAAAAAGAGAATATAGATACAAAGAAGAACCTAAAAGTTGTGTTTACCTGTAGTCGAGAAAACAGCCGCTACTTCGCGGCGTCACCACTGTTTACCCCACGAAATGACGTCTGAGAAACGAGCGTAGAAATTCCATACTGATGACTTGTTACTATTCAAGATCTGGGTAGTGCGTCTGATTGGCTAAAAATTTGCTTCATCTGAAGAGAACCACCACTTATATCTTGGTAGTAATACGTCATCAGTATGGAATTTCTACGCTCATTTCTCAGAAGTCATTTCGCGAGAAACCAGTGGGGGTAATAGTTTTCTCAAGCTAGTTTACCTGTCACTCTGTCCTTGCAGTAACACTGTCCTGAAGAGCTATCACATGAAATGTTCCTGTTTTGCGTTCCATCTAGCACACACCCACATGAAACACAACCAGTCGCGTGACTCGCTTTGAGATCGTAGAAGCCATCTTTGCACTGATCACATTCACGCCCAACTGTGTAAGCCTTACACTCACACTGACCAGCAAGAACGCTTGAATTCGAATCATCCTAATAAGAGATGTATAATATTAGCCCAGTCCCTAGGCGTTTTCTCTTTGCTTTCCGCACAAAGCCTGGGGGGTCGGCTAGTCTCTTTCGGTGACATTACGTCTCAGAGCAGGGACTGGGTTTGACCGAGCCGAAAACGCATTGGGACTAGGCTGGTATAAGATATTTATAGGATGAGATTTGATACAGTCTAAATAAATTTACAGCACTTTAAAGGCGAGCAGGAGCCAACGGGCCAATTCCGAAAGTAACGTGAGCATTTTCTCCCACTTATTTCATCAAACTAAAGTGCAAATGTAACAGAAACTAAGCAGGAAAAAATATATATAAAGTTGTCATACCGGGCCACTATCAAACGTTTTTAAGTAAACCGTTAAGTCACCTTTTTCTGTAAAACAACTATTTAAATAAAAATTTTCCAACCATTCGAGCTCACAACAATGATTGACTCTGTAAAACACAAAAGAAACAGCAAATTCCACTGGATTTCGAACCTACGTTTAAAGTTTTTCTTGAACATTTATTTTTGGCCATTTAAGGAGAGAAACGTCTTCCCTTTGTTCGCGCTGATCGACTTCCACAAAGGCTAATTACTGTACACACTACCTACCTTGACACAATCCAACTTTCCAGGCTGCACTCCAGGCCCCTCACATCCACAGGGCGTGCAAACGTCACCAGCCTTCAGACTCTTCCCAGACTCCCTATAGAACATTTCCTTACACATCTCACAGTAACGGCCAGTCGTATTGTGCTGACAATCGATGCACACACCCCCTCCCCCGAGAGTGCGTGAGTTGGGATTTGTATCTAGAGTCTGATTATAAATGCAGCTATTGGCATGATCATTACACTCGCATTTGATGCAGGGGTTGGCGTTATCTCGATCACCTCGTAAAAATGGCTTGTTGTTGTATAAGGGTTTGCAACGATGACACTGAAAAAAAAATTATGATTAATACTAGTAACAACCAAAGGGTACGAAGTGCGGGCGACAACGATCGAAGGTCAAAACGCTTTTGCTCCAACGACGTGCTTTGCGTAAGTTTCACGTGACAGATGGTCAAAACACGCGTGATAAGGTTACGAGTGATAGAGGGTCCAGACGCGCGTACGCGCGTGATCAAATTGCGTCATGTGCATTCCATTCATTCTTAGTGGAAGTCCAAACTCATACTGGCTACATCATGCGACGCATGCGTAATAACAACCTGGAGATTAGGATTTATGTATGAACTTCCGAGAACCAAAGTTTGACGCTCTTAAAATTCAGAGTCTGTCATGACTACTTTTGAGTCTGTGGCCCGAACAAACCCTATAATTGTTTGACTATCCAAATGAAACCCCTTCGTGACCTCACAATTTATTTCAAGTTGACCCTTTTAATTCACGATCAGTGGATGAAATTGATGGTGAACAGGAAAACCATCAAATAAACTAGCCCTTCTTTCACAAGCTATTAGGGAGTTTATAACCAAGACAACGATGGCGGTGAAAAGAGACTTTGCGTTTTGAAACGCCACGGCCAATATCCCAACTCCCTCACTGTGTCAAAAACTCCTAAAACATCCAAAAGACCAAGTATCCATAGAGACAGCAATTCGCAGTCGTTTGTACACGTTCGATAAAACGTGAAATAGCCATTTGAAGGGTGGTGTCATTTTACTGCTACTACCACAATCCTTTAGGGTTTTGCATTCTTGCGCAAATTAGGGCTTTGGTTATTTAAACCTTAGTAGGATTGTGACATTTATATATGAAAGAAAAAACGAAATGAATTCTGGTCTTAGTAGTAAAAAGAAGTCATCATGCAAATCGCTTATAAGGCAACTCACTGGCAACTCCACATCGTAGTCGTGCAGTGACGGCAAAGAAATGTACCCGGAAGATTAAACCTATTACTTTTTTGGCGTTCTCGTTGAAGTCGACGTCGTGACATCTTAAAATCGGTATTATTAGTTTTTCTATATGTCAATAATGAATGAAATTGAGCATAATTTTTCGGGAATGATTTCATTTTAGTCTTATGGGAGTAAAAGAGACAATAACAAGAAATCACAGTAACTAACGTTTTCTCCTTCAGTATTAGTTGACGGTTGACAGTTGCAAACACATCGGCCGATTTGATTTCCACTGCCTTCAATGTAGAAGAAAGTTGATGCATGGCCAAAGCACTCACACCTTTTAAACAGAAGAAATAATTATTGTATATTCAGTTAAAAAGTGCCAAGCAAATACTTTAAATTACAAATATCCTCTCGTTTCTTCCAACATGTTAAGTTAAGCAGTCTTGACTAGCCTGCATGGCAGGCGCCGGTTAATTTGTTTGGTTATTAAATTTTTGTAAACGGGGACACCCAACGACAACTTTCGGAAAAATATCTGTTCGGAAGACGATTTGAGATCTAGAATTTTCGGAACATTTGTTGTAAAATTTCTTGCTTGCATACCTCTCCTAGGATTTTCGAACATATAAAAGATGGTATACTTGCCCATTTTTAACTCATTTTTACCACAAAAAGTTCACCTAGAATTTTCGGGAGCCTATTTTCTGGCTAAAATTTTCGAAAAGGTAAGTTTTGATCCCTATAATTTTCGGATCACTAGACTGTCAGCTAGGAAATCCGAACAGATGAAAAACTTTTAGGGGATAGAAATATGCCTATATCTACCGTTTAAATAATAAAATACGTTCAACAATGCTATGTTTAAGTGGTTTTGAACTATATTCTCTTTGGGTGCCCTGATGTAAACACAATGTAGCGCACGAGGAGAGCGCGTGAAGGGGACAGGAGGCCTCATCTCCTTTTCTCCCCTCGTGCGCGCGCGCGTCTTCGAAATTCTTCCCTTCACGCTAACAAAACCGGCACCTATTACGCAGGCTAGGTTTTGACTGTAAATGTAAATGTGCTTTCAAGGTGTAAGGTAACTAAGGCCATAGTTGACAGCTTATTGCTGGGTAAAAGTCTAGCGTGAGGTTTTCAAATAATGTAGAGGACACGTTGTTACCTTGCAAACAGAGCAAACTAACTTTACGACTGACATGAGACGTGAACGACTTCATAAACGCTAACAGCCATGCAAGAAATTAAGAAATCTCTGCTAGCAGGGTAAGATCTCCTACGTTCTACAGTACAACTGTTTATATTTACCGCCTGGCTCAAATTTATTTATTTATTTATTTATAACAACTTTATTTGTAATAATCAATACAAAAAGGCTGCCATCAGGGAGGAACTGAATCCTCATGTAAGATGGCCCCCTAAATCACTTCTAGTAGAAAGTCAATTTACAAAGAATGATAACTGAGAACTTCAGTGATAATGTTGGCTATGACTTTTGGAGAAAAAGGCAGTGAAAAATGCGAGAAATCCATGTAATGTCACAAAACAAAATATTATTATTACATGTACAAGTTAACACTATCATTACTGCTTGAAGTTTTATCCTTTGACAACTGATCAGGCAAACAAAACGTAACTCTGAATTGTTTTCATGTTAGAAAATTGTGCTCTCGATCAACAGCCTTATGCAGAAATGCTCGCTAAAGGCCACATTAAAAATGCCCTTGAGGTTATTATGATGTAATTATGCTACTTTTACAAACTTTACCTTCCAGTTACCAAAATTCTTTCCAGCCCATAATAGCGGTGCTCAGGATTCTGTACGAGGGTATGATTGACAAAATGCAACCTGACATGAGTGGCTTTCAAAAACTGGAGTAGTTTTTCGGAGCAATAAAGATTGCTGCATCCCTGACCAAATGGCCGCACAGGAATATTGGAGCCAGAAGGGGGTGGATACTCTGTCTGAAATGTAAGGGCCTCTCTGCTTGACTGTAATGGCCTGGAAATTTTTAAAAAGTACACAAACATTTTTATTTCAAAAGTAATAATTTCCAATTTGATACAATCACAAAAAGTAATATCTTGATCTTTTGAAGTAACTTGAGTCTAACAGAATCACAGAGGAACAAGATTCTAATCATCTTTTGATAGATCAGACGTCAATTTGTCTTTGATAAAAGTTCGGCTGTAGGTTAAGTTATAATGTGTACAACAGACAATGGACAATTAAACATGTTTATTATTCAATCAAAGTATTTCCCCGATTCTGATTGGCTAAAAGCACAAGCATAATTCACCATAACCAGTTAATGATGACCAAATTTGGAAGAATTTTGTGTTTAACAAGGAAAAGACGTCAAAAATGCAGCCCTCTACAGGTTAAGGCACTGTTATCAAGAAGACCTGGGGACAAGGTTGAGTTGTTTTGGTTGTGAAGGTTGTGGTGGACATTTCACTCGTTTCAAGAGTAAGAACTACAGCTGGAACTAAGCGAAATAATAGCTAAAAACATGGCAAAAACAGCAAGAAGACCACTTGGAGGGCCACATCTGCTATTTGGAAAATATTTGCGGAGCTGGACAAACCTAAACATACAGTCTAAGATAGACTTAACATCGATGCAGGTAAGAATGTTTTATGTGTCCTCTATTTTTTTAAACTAGGAATTATTTTGAATGAGGGTTACATGTAACTTATTTTTTTTGCTTATATAAGTGCCTAAAGAACAATTCCTGGGGAGATGTCAATTCATAACTAATCAACAATCAGCAACAACAATGATCTACCTGACTGTACGATTGCAAAAAATAAGTTTAATGTTAAGACCCAAAGCTTAGGGAAGAAATACACTTAAAACTCACTTGATGTACTGAATACAGTTGACTGAATCTGGTTCAGACAAAGGACCATTATTTTGCAGATTAAACGATGCCAC